ACACAAATTTATTAATATGCATGTATTGAGATTTTTTTTTTTACCAAAGACATGTAGCAGAATACATTTTGTCCTAAATTTCTAACTAACTTTGAGTTTATTTGATATTTTTTATAACCAAAAATGTGGGGGTTTTTTGTTTATAGCGCAAAAAGTAAAAAATGCTGAGGTGATCAAAACCCCCACCAAAAGAAAGCTCTATTTGTGTGAAAAAAAGGATATAAATTTCATGTGGGCACAGCATTGCACGACTGAACAATTAGCAGTTGAAATAGCACAGTGCAAACAGCAAAAAATGGCCTGGTCATGAAGTGGGGTAAATCTTCTGGAGGGCAAGTGGTTAAAGGACATCCATTAAAAGTTGTCAATAATTCACCATTGTTTACTTGACATTTACAATGTATCTATAACATTTGTGCACAAGGATTATACATCGCCATATCCATCTTGATTTAACTATCTCAGCCTCTCATCCAACTCTACAGATGTTGGAAACTCTTAACTTCCAAGAACAGGTCTGGTTCGCCCTGTGTTACCAAGAAACCCCTTAGTATTATATTTTAGAATATTACACTTCATTACAATCACCAGTAAAGGACAATACACAGTTGTAGTCATTCAATATTGTCTCATCTTATTAGACATGTACAAAACGAAAAAAGTTGTCTCGGATCGATTCATTAAGTTACTCATTTCATTTCACTGCATTCATTAAATTTGGATGATTCATTTTCATAATAAATTTCTTTTAGTTTAGTTTAGGTTTGTTTATTTTCAAATGGATTTGAACTTTCTGAAGTATTAAAATTTTAATCAAATCAAAACGAAGGGCCTGGTATGGATTGGGGGGGTGCCCATGCTGTTTTTTGGTCTTTTTAAACTGGCCTTGTTTGTCTGCTGCCAGCAGATGTGTCATTATTGTCAAGGATGCAGCAGCCCAATCCTTAACAACCAGCAATTATCGAGTCAATTTGGATCATTTGTTTCATTTATCATATAATTTGTTAGTGTTGCAATCTGGAAATTCGGATTCATCCGAATCTCCAAATAATGAAAATTTAATCCGAATTTTGATTCAGAATAAAACAAAACACACGTCTACATCTTATGCAATTAACCACTTGCCTACCAGGCACTTATACCCCCTTATTTACCTGGCCAATTTTCAGCTTTCAGCGCTGCCGCACTTTGATTGACAATTGAGCGGTCATGCAACATTGTACCCATATGAAATTTTGATAATTTTTTTCTCACAAATAGAGCTTTCTTTTGGTGGTATTTAATCGCCACTGGGCGCTTTACTTTTTGCACTATAAAAAAAAAAAAATGCAAAAAATTTGAAAAAAAAAAAAAAAAAGTTTCTTTGTTTCTATTAGAAAATTTTTCAAATAGGTATTTTTTCTCCTTCACTGATGTGCGTTGATGAGGCAGCACTGATGGGCACTGATAGGTGGCACTGATGGGCACTGATAGGCAGCACTGAAGGGCACTGATAGGCAGCACTAATGAGGTGGCACGGATAGGCGGCACTGATAGACAGCACTAATGAGGTGTCACGGATAGGCGGCACTAATATGCAGCACTGATAGGCGGCACTGATAGGTGACATGATGATGGGTACTGATAGACGGCACTGACTGGCATCACTGCTGGGCACTGACTGGCGGCACTGACTGGCACAACCCCTGGGCACTGACTGGTGGCACTGACTGGCAGCACTGCTGGGCTGCACTGCTGGGTGGCACTGGTGGGCAGCACTGGTGGGTGGCACTGGTGGGCACAGGTGGGTGGCACTGGTGGGCACAGGTGGGTGGCACTTCTGGGCACAGGTGTGTGACACTGCAGAGTGGCACAGGTGGGTGCACTGCTGGGCACAGGTGGGTGATCTGCTGGGCACAGGTGGTCGGAGCTTGTGGGCGCACTGCTGGGCACAGGTGGGCGGAACTTGTGGGTGGCACTGCTGGGCACCGATCATCAGTGCCCTGATGATCGGTGCCGATCCCCACTCTGACAACTGCCGGTTCTCGGCAGTACTTTCCTCACGATCTGACAGCGTGAGGAAAGTGCAGCCGAGAACCGACACTTGCATTTCCCTCTGATCAGCGTGTCATTGGACACCGCGGATCACATGGTAAAAGGCCGCTGTGATTGGCCTTTTACCACATCACGTGATCAGCTGTGTCCGTAGGACACAGCGATCACCGAGATCGCCGGTTGCGCGCCCCCTGGGGCGCGCAGGAGAGTGCGTTCTGGGAGGACGTCATATGACGTCCACTCAGAACTGGCCGGCCGCAGTGCAGCCATCATTCAGCTATCTGCGGTCGGCAGGTAGTTAAGTTAAAATACTCAGTCGCAAAGCTTGGTCCCAAATACAACAAGATATGCTGAACTCTCAAAGTATTGACTGACTTGTGCAAATGACTGCCTTTAAGGAAGTCTGACACAATTTTTGCTGAGGGCTGTGCTTACATTGTACTCAATACCTTCTTCCTTTTTCTACGCCTAGTAGGCTGGAATTGAGAGCTAAATATTTAAATTATTATAATAACCATTGCTGCTTTTTCAACAAGATTTTATTTTCCAAATTTTTTAAACATTTTCTTTTGCCTTAGCCCTTATGCACACTGGACATTTTTAAAGCTGCTGTTTTTGGCTTTTGACATTTTTTTTCCACACCCAGTAAACCCCCCAGCATGTTATCCTATGTGTCCATACACACATAGACTGTAATCAACGTGTTTTGGCAGGGGCGTTTTTTGGCTGAAAAAAAAACCCATGACTAGTGGGTTTCTAGAGGAGTTTTTTTTTAGCTGTAAAAACGCTCTAACACTGAAAAACATGGCAAAACAGAGTAAAATGTTGTAAATCGCAACAAACCAGCGTCTTTGGATTTTTTTGTTTTTTTTTTATGAAAAATGCAAAAAATGCAAATGTGAAAAATGCGGCAAAACTCCTCTAAATGCTAATGCAAAAATGCAAAAAAATGCTGAAAAACTCATGTTTTTAACATGACTTTACACAGCTAACGTTACCAGCATTATTAAAATGCCCAGTGTGTATGGAGCCTTATAAAATCTCTTGCGTCATCCAAATTTAAACATACACGTTATAATATAAATTTCACAGTTGGTACTACATAAAGTTAAAAGATAAAAACTTTTCCCTGCTTCACACACAGGAAAAGGAACTGGGAGTCTCTCTCTCCTTTACTCCCTCACACAGACAGCCTGAACTGCAGCAGTTTAACCACTTCAAGTCCGGACACTTTCACCCCCTTCCTGTCCAGGCCAATTTTCGGCTTTCAGCGCTATCACGCTTTAAATGACAATTTTGCGGTCATGCAACACTGTACTCATATGAATTTTTTTGCATTTTTTTGAGACAGATACAACTTTATTTTGGTGGTATTTATTCACCACTGGGATTTTTTTTTGCTATATAAATGAAAAAGTCCAGACATTTTTTAAATTGTTTTTCTTATAAAATGTTGAGAACAATTAATCTTTCTTCATAAATCTTGGCCAAAATGTATTCAACTATCTTTTTAGCAAAAAAAAAAAAAAATAACCCAAATTAGTTTATAACCAACAATTATAATTTTTATTAATATTAATATTAATAAAATATTATTATTATTTGTGTTTTTTTAACATACCATCACCCTAGCAGTACAGTGTCACCATAGTGACACTGTACTACTTGTGAGGAGTGATGAAGATTTTTTTTCTTTTTTTACACTGATTGCTATTACACCCACAAAGGCTGTAAAAACAATCATCTCTCTTTCTCTCTTGCTGCATTCTTGCAGCCATTAAGAAATACTATGGTTGGTCACAGCTTGTTACATGGTGCAAGGCTGTTGTGAATAGCCTTGTACCATGTGACCTCTGTGATCATTCACAGATTTCACTAGTAGTAAGCAATATAATGTCAGAAGTAACATCTTGTTTACTACTATTCATGTGATCACTGATTGGCCAATCAGTGATCACATGAATCGGGACCTCACACAGAGGTCCCCTTACAGTGATCAGGGAGTGCGCACAGGCAGTGAATGCCGGGGCTGTTTATAAACGGCGACCCGCTTCGGCACTGCTCCCGTCTGGCCATTTATGTACATGGACCGGACAGGAAGTGGTTAATTCACAAATTATTTTTTGTTTCACTTTTCTCATATACAACTGTTAGACTTATGTAAACCAACAACCAAAAGTAGCAAAAAAACACATTTTATAAATCATCCGTACTTAGTGTCACCTTTCTGTCTTAAAGCAGAACTCCACCCAAAAGGGGAAGTTCAGATTTAAGGCTTTGTCCCCTGCTCCCCATTAAGGATTAGCACCCTTGGGGAGCAGGGGGGGGAGGGGGTACACGAATTTGACAGGTACCCGCTCCCACTACCGCTGCTATTGCCTAGGCAATTGGAAGAGGAAGATGTCCTCCCCCACTCCTTCCCCGTAGTCTTCTGGGAAACATAACAGGTTCCAGAAGACTACGGGGCCATTCACAAAGCGCAGCGCTACTTGTGCATGCACAGTGGGCACCCAGCTGTGAAGCCGCAAGCTGCCACAGCCGGGTGCCCAAACTGAAGATGCTGGCGCAGAGGAGACAGGACAGTTGGTGAACCCGGCCGGTGTGAAGACACCGTGGGATCAAGGGACGGGTAAGTGTCCGTTTTTTAAAAGTCAGCAGCTACAGTTTTTGTAGCTGCTGACTTTTATTTTTTTTAATTCCTGCTGGACCTCCGCTTTAATTCAGGTGACATTGTAATTTTTACCACAGACAAAACAACATGATCATGTTTCTGTACAAGTAACATTTCGTCCTCTTTAGCCAGCTAGGATGCTGCTAGGATGTTGCTAAGGAAGGCCCAGCTATTACTGTTCACCTTCACCATCACCATCACCATCAGAGAAGCTAGCTCTAAATCAAACCCCCTCACTTCTCTCCCCTGATGCAGTAGGTATGAGCTCAGAGTTTGAAAGAGCTAGCTCCTGTGATGCTGAAGGTGAACAGTACAAGCTAGGCCTCACTTAGCAATGTCCTGGGAGTTTTCCAGTCAGGCTTCATGAGGCAAATATATAGCCTACATCTATAAAAAGGACATTATTTGGTAAAAACTGCAAAGTTTGTGTTTATCTACAGCAGGGGCGGACTGACAACTCATGAGGCCCCCGGCAATAGGGGATTATGGGGCCCCTGTGCCCTCACCCACACTCAAACCACATCCAAAAAAGCCTATGAAATGTAATAGGGGCATCTCATGGGGCCCTCTACTGACCCCGGGCCCTCAGGCAGTGCCCAAGTGCCCAAATGGTCAGTATGCCCCTGATCTACAGACACCCCTTATCTGCATAGCCAGGTATCTGCTAAAGGTGAATTAACCCTTTAAAGACATCGTTCTTGGAAAGAATCATATGCTAGCAGTAGAACAGAAATTCCTTGTCTCCAACCGTATAAACCTACCCATAGACAGATATACAGCTGTTTCCTCAGCTCATTAATACCATAGCTCTCAATTTCACTTCACAAGATGATTTTATTTTGTCAATTCAATAAGCAAAGTTGGAATTTTCCTATTTCTATCTCTACGTCTTTTCTTCAGATTGGTCTAATGATGGATGCCAGGATAACAGTTTAAATGCATCTTGCCAGTGTTCATAGCACTTTAACAAGCCTGTGCCAGATGTGTATTTAGATTTTGATGAACCAAATGAATGTTCTGTTGGCACTGAAATGACCACAGGCTGATGCATTGAGCTGCGGCTCCTGTAATGGAATGGATGGCATATTAATAAACAGGGTGTCGTGTTTATCTTAATGGAGGCGGAAAGGTTTCTGATAAAAACATAATGAATTTGATATCAAATACAAGCTGTTACAACAAACTGCCAATATAATTAATGATCTTTAGATGCTAATGACAAATATTACTTAGCAGGAAAGGAGAAGCTATGTAATGTAGTAGAAACTTATTTGACATTTGGACTTCGTGTACATGGGCTTCAAGAATTAATTTCACTTAAACACACGAAAGCTTTTGCTTTTCAGCATGCAATGGGTGTCCAGGTAGCATCTACAGAGGCATTGCAAAATACTTATCAGCACATCAAACAACTAATTTCAGCTCCTCCTATCCCTCATTGTAATTTAAAAGGGATTGTGACTAAAGAAAAAGATGTGTTTTTTTCTGGTTCTTTTGGGAGCCTTTTATAGTGGCAGGTAAGGAGGTATCCTGGTATAGTGGATGCCACTCTCTTTCAATGTTTAAACTAAAGGTGGCCATAGATGGGTTGAACTTTGGCTGGTTCAGTACAGTGGCAAAATTTAGCACTTCCGGCTGGCAGCACTAGGGGGGATGGTTCGAATACCAACCACGGCACCACCTACCTGGAGTTTACATGTTCTCCCTGTGCCTGTGTATGTTTCCTCTGGGAACTCTTAATTTCTCCCAATCTCCAAAGACATGCTGGTAGGTTTATTGGCTTCTGTCTAAACTGGCCCTAGTATGTGTATGTATGAATGTGAGTTAGGGATCTTAGATTGTACGCTCTTTGAGGGTTAGGGGCTGATGTGAATGTACAATATATATATGAGAAAGTGCTGAGTAAATTGATGGTGCTATATAAGTACCTGTAATAAAAACATTTTAATTTATGTGTGGCCACTGCAGTTGAACAGATGTCAATCTACCGATTGACTTCTGTTACATAGTTACATAGTTAGTCTGGATGAAAAAAGACAAAAGTCCATCCAGTTCAACCATTACAAAAAAAAAAAAAAAGTTATAATCTTATACCCACAGTTGATCCAGAGGAAGGCAAGAAGGCAAAAAAACCCAGCAAAGCACGATCCAATTTGCTCCTGCAGAGGAAACAATTCCTTCCTGATCCCCCGAGAGGCAATCAGATATTCCCTGGATCAACTCTACCTATAAATGTTAGAATCCAGTTATATTCTGTGTATCTAGAAAAGAATCCAGGCCTTTTTTAAAGCAATCCACTGAGCTGGCCAGAACCAACTCTTGAGGGAGTCTATTCCACATTTTCACAGCTGTCACTGTGAAGAAACCTTACCGTGTTTGGAGATGAAATTTCTTTTCCTCCAGATGTAAAGAGTGCCCCTTGTCCTCTGTGATGACCTCAGGGTGAATAACTCTACACCGAGTTCACTATATGAACCACTGATGTATTTATACATGTTGATCATATTCCCCCTTAATCTCATCTTCTCAAGAGAGAATAAATTCAGTTCCTCTAATTTTTCCTCATAGCTGAGCTCCTCCATGCCTCTTATCAGTTTGGTTGCACTTCTCTGAATTTCTCCAGTTCCCCAATGTTCTTTCGGTGAATTGGTGCCCAAAACTGAACTGCATATTCCAGATGAGGTGTTACTAATGATTTGTACAGGGGTATATGATATCTCTCTCTCTGGAGTCTATACCTCTTTTAATACAAGAGAGGATTTTGCTCACTTTAGAAACCGCAGCTTGGCATTGCATGCCATTATTAAGCTTGTGATCTACCAGAACCCCCAGATCCTTCTCCACCATTGATTCCCCCAGTTGTACTCCCCCTAGTATGTATGATGCATGCATATTCTTAGCCCCTAAGTGTGCATATTCTTAGCCACATTGCATGTGATTTGTACAGGAATGCAGTGTGGTTCCTGTGCAAACACATGGAATTTACAGAACCGCTGTAGTGTGCACCTTCACCTAAATTGGATCTCAGACTGTCTTCATTTTACTGTAATCTCACATACAACATCCTTCAGACTGAAATAAAAAGGGACAAAAACTGTCAGGCCAGTTGATTCCTACTGCATCCCACTGTGCTGTCAGGAGTTTGCTGATAGAAAGGGAGAGGACAAGGATGAACTTATTTCAGGTGCAAGGATGGTAGTTTGTTTTACTATCCAATCATGCAATAAATAAAATAAATAAATATAAGAGATCCTTGACTCAGCTGTATTACTTCACCTGCAATAGAGAAAAGGTATGGTCAGGGGGCTCGTTCACATTTAACTGTTTTACCAACGCTTACCAAATGCCCCTATAGCATTTGGCAAGCGTTGGTCCAGCGTTAGCTGAGCATTTTTTAACGCTCGGCAAACGCCGCATGCGTGGTTTAGCGGGGGTTGCTAGGCATTTGCCGGGCGTTAAAAATGCCCCACAAACGCCTATAATGAAGTTTAAATGGTGTTACCGCTCCGCAAACGCCCCGCAACCGCGCCGAAAACGCCGGCCGGGCGTTTGCGGAGCGGCACCATAGACTAGAATAGGAGGCTTCAACGCCTCCTGACTCGACCAGAGGCGTCCGTTTTGTCGCAATGCTAATGCTCCCGTTAGAACAGCACCATGTGCTGCAATGTGCAGAATTGTCCAAGGCGTTTGAGAAGCGGTTAAAAATGCTTCCCAAATGCCAGTCTGCCGCCTGCACACAACGCTAGTGTGAACGTAGCTTAACTGTTTGGCATGGATATGCAAATCTGAAGAGACAACAGAGTTTAAATCTTTTGGCAGACTACACATGTATGTATTCAACATGTGTTTATCTGATTTCTTCTAGTTCTGCTTTAAATAGACTCAAAACTCAATTCAAGCAGCAATACGTTTGTGTACAGAGTAGTAAGTGTCCTAACGTATGTGGCTAGCATATTCACAGTTTTTTATTTTATTACAATTTGCACTTACTGTTAGCAGGGTATGTGGCTTACAGCGATGCAGGTAATGGTAGGTTATGTATGTGTTCTTTTTAATAATTTTCATTGAGCTTTGTACAAAGAAAATTAACAATCATAAGATGAACATTTGCCTTACACATTACCCACATGGCTGCACATTATAATCCATATACTAAATATACAGAAAGGGCAAATGAGTTCAAGGTAGAGCAGGATACATCCAAATAGCTCAAATGGTAAACAAGTCGAATATTCGTGATATAACCACCCTGGAGGATCTAGGCAGTCACAGAGCTGGTATATTGCTCTGCATGTGTTCTATAGATATTTCAAATTATGTATACGTGAATGGTTTGCTTACTCTGTAGAATAGGCTATTCATGATACTTTACTTAAAATAGATCAATAAATAACACTTTACTGTGGAATTATTCCCTTATACTGTACATTTCCAAACTGTTCACTAAATGGATAGGAAATCAGTTTTCATATTCTGAAAACTGACGAGGCTACCACAATGTTTGGAGGAATAACTCCACATATTTAACAAAATGATTCCTGTATACAATACATGTAATAATATCTGTACTTATAGGATGTTCACTGCAAAAAAAAATTAAAATACAAAGTACAAAACTGTGCTAATTAGTACAAATATAAATGAAAGACAGCAGCAATCACTATTGTTTGGACATCAACAATGCAAAACATACTAATCAAATAAATGTGTTGCGGTCTTTTTTTAACCACTTGCCTACTGGGTACTTTCACCCCCTTCCTGGCCAGACCAATTTTCAGCTTTCAGCGCTGTCGCACTTTGAATGACAGTTGTGCAGTCATTGAGACAGATAGAGCTTTCTTTTGGTGGTATTTAATCACCGCTGGTTTTTTTTTATTTTCTGCTAAACAAACTCAAAAAGAATGAAAATTTTGAAAAAAAAGTTTTTTCTTAGTTTCTGTTGTAAAATTTTGTAAATAGGTAATTTTTCTCCTTCACTGATGTGCGCTAATGAAGCTACAGTGATGAGCACTGATAGGCTACACTGATGGGCACTGAAAGGCAGCACTCATATAAGACACTGATAGGTGCCACTGACTGCCACTGATAGGCAGCACTGATTGGAACTGTTAGGCGGCACTGATGGGCACTGATAGGCGGCACTGACTGCCACTGATAGGCAGCACTGATTGGAACTGTTAGGCGGCACTGATGGGCACTAATAGGCGGCACTGACTGGCACTGATAGGTGGCACTGAAAGGCAGCTCAGATGGGTACTGATATGTGGTATTGATGTGCACTGGTAGGCACTGATATTTGCATTGATGTGGCACTGATGGGCACTGGCAGGTGGCATTGATAGGCACTGACAGGTGGCACTGATGGGGTTACACTGATCATCAGGGCACTGATCATCAGTGCCAAGATGATCAGTGTACATGTCCCCTCTGAGGAATGCCGCTTAACGGGGCTCTCCTCACGAACTGTCAGCGTGAGGAGAGGAATGCTGATAACCGGCATTTCCTTGCTTACATGCGATCAGCTGTGATTGGACACAGCTGATCACATGACAGAGTCGGCATCATCAGCTCTTTCCACTGATCGGTGATCCGCTTTCTCTCAGGGACACAGCGCACCACCGACTGTGTCTT